GCAATGGTCTAGTCCGAAGACTAGCCCGTGCAGCAAAAGCGGGATGACTGCTCGTATGACCATTTTATACATACGCATTCAAACACGTCATATATTTCAAATTCGTCTCATGTTCCCGGCCATGAGCCGTAGCGTGAACATATTGCCTTTGTCTTCGGACTTGGCATTCAGTGCTATATAGTGGGATAAGTGATTTTCTAAGTTTTTTTGGCTATGAGTTTGTGTTCGTCAATAGTTAGCAGCTAATTAAGCATTCACATTGTAAGAGCTGCCTGTCTACCCTCTGGTCCTTGAACCTCAGACTTCAAGAGACAACTGGTTGCGGATGGAGAATGGGATGCAGATGAGGCGAGTAGAAGACATCAATTGGAGGGAGACTCCCTGCCGGCTTCACGCACGAGATTCGTGCTCCCAACTTGTTCTCGCCTCTCACCTATATCAGTACACCTGCACAAATTATTATATATTACACACATGATGATCTGAGCCAAGCAACATCCATGTTTTTTAATTGTCTTAATTTACCTTAGCAGAAACTGGCCATCATTTTAGGTAAATGATGCCATATAAATTTATTTTAATGCATCGCTGACTCAGTCGTACCAGATAGTTTATTACTCCCTGGATAATACAGACTGCACAATATACGTGACATAAACACCCACAGTCTATATAGTCATGAGTTATTTCCATGCTTTAGAACTAGCTTAGATGCTAGGTAATGCTGCAACACAAACCTAAGACTGAGACTGGAGGACCCCTCACCCCACCCTCAGGCTCATGTATCTCCAGTTTTAAAGGAATGTCTGTTGGGAAATGTTTATTTCGAATCTTGCATGGTAGAGAATAGAAGGGTGTCGGTGAAACAACAAGCCAACTTCACCCCTGGATGTCGTCGCGTTCTTCACGGACCGGATTCGTGCTGTAGTCTCTTGGCTACCTGTCCCCTACAAGGGCAATTTAAACAAACCCGTACACATGGCAGCGACTAATGTAAGCAAACAGAACTGGCTAAGATATCAGATCATTTCGGAAAAACATTCTTGTTCTAACTTTGTAGAGTTTAAGAGTTTGTAGTTGCATTAGTAATGGCTTCTCTAAGCAAGCTTAAAGACGCAAACTACAAATATATTTTAATCGGGGCATACTTCCCTTTTATGCAATATAGTTTCCATTTAAAATTGATTATATAAGCCACGGATGTCGCGACTTTTCGAATACAACCGATAGATGTTCTGCGTTCGTAACGGGATTGTCAATTTTGTGTTGCCTTTCTTATTAGCTCATCGGTGGGAAGCTATTGTCTATTTTATGTTAGTACTTTGTATCGTAGGTTAATGTTTTGGCATCTGTTCAGGGACTAGTCGTTGGTGCTAGAAGTGGCATATAGGACGTTATGTGTTTCATTGATAAATATTCCTCGTGAGTTGAAACTTCTCTGACTTTTGTGTGACTTAAGCTGAGGTGTGAGGTATATTTTTGCAGAACCAGGCATTTTTATCACCACGTCTCTTCAAAAGCCGATTGTCCAGCATCTCACTTTGCTTACATCCGCATTGGCTTCATCCCGGTACACGATGTGTTGAAGAGCAAAGTTTCCTATCTTTAGTGCCTACTGAGCAAGCTGATATTTCTGTGTCACGTTCGTTCAGTGTTAAATTGTGGATCCGCGTCCTATTTCTCTTGACTTCTATCCGGTCATTTTATTTTGAGTTCACTTGCGATCGTTTGTGCGTCGCTTGTGCGCTTTTCAATCTGGTGCCATCAAATTACGTTTAGTTTTAGGCTTGGTTTGGTTTAGTAATGTTGGTATTTTCACCACATTGCAATCTTAGCAGCTAATTTGGTCTTTCATGAAGTCTACTTAACACCTCGTGATAGTTTTTCGTCATGTTCTTCCTTGCATGATCTTTTGGTGTTTGTGTTCTAGACGACTTGAAATCAATGGCTTTCTCGGATACGCCGCACGAAATTTCTCCCATCCTATCATCCGCAAAAGGAGCCGAGTTACCACGCAATATTTCCTCACCCAAAACCAAAGCCCGTTGCGATCATCCTGAGAGTGATCATGAAAGTCTCATGTTGCATATTAACCGCCGCTCTTCCCTAGCCACCGTCACCTCCACCGCCTCAGACATCCCAGTCATGGAAATGGACTTCTCCTCTTTCCCACGTCGAAATTCGGAGCACCGCACAATCGGCCTTCGCACCAAAAAGTATTTACTTCCACGCCTTCTATCTCATAGAAAATTCGCTCTTACAGTTCTTCATCCTTCATCTGCAGCCGTAATGAATGATATACACTACTTGCTCAAGGTAAGCATCGCCCCGCGTGCACTGCCTTGCACCGATCCTTCGGTGAAGGGTTCTCTGTCCGCTGTATTATATCTAGATCTGCATATTTAGCTGTTTCAATCATTTTGTGTACTGGCTTCGTCACCTGATTAAAAATTACAGCGATCGTAATGATCGACAATCATTATGGAGAGGCTTAGCTTCGATTAGTTTTTAAAAGAACAAGCGTTTTCAAAAAGGTTGAAGTGTGCTTATGATTGCTAGATCTTATGGTGAGTCGCATAGCTGTCGGCATAGGCAGAAATATTTTAGCGACAGTAATTTTTAGCATGGCCGGTGATGACTACTATGTAGTTAGCTAATGCCTACATCAGGCTTGAATTTCTGTTTATTGTCGTGCTCGAGTCATCCATATTCAAAAGTATCAGCTCGCGCTCAGGGCTGAGGACTTTTGAGCTCCATGATTGGTCGTGTCATCCAATTCCCACTATTGATCAGCAGATATAGTTACCATAGCATCTTACCTATGGGCCGACGATTGGTGGACGTTTGCCTAAGACAGTTGTCTGCGAACTTCCCTCCTTGTGGCAATTTCAAATTACCGGCCGCCGCTGTTCCAAGTTTAAATGAACGCAAAAAGACCGAATCATATCGATTCCCATGTGCATGGACAATGAACTAGGCTAATTCATGTGGACTAGTGAGGATAGATTGGTTGTTACCCGAACACTGGGGAGTATATTGCCATGGGTATTGCGGAGGGGAAGGCTCACGATATCTCGCCTCATAAAGCGAATTTAGGATATCATTGTACGGTAAAGGCGTGTGATGCAGTCATTGGTAGCAGGATGGTAAAGAAATTGCGTAAATCTATAAATAAAGCTTATTCAAACTACAAACCTCATCATAGATGCGTTCCTTACAAGATCTCTCTGGCAAACTTGGAAAACGGTCTGCACAAACCACTACATGGACAAATCTGTCCAAAGGAAAAACAATACAGGTAGGTATGTTTTGAACGCGCGTCATGTGAAGGCTATGCATCAGAAGACCCAAACCGTCGTCTACTACCTTGCACATTTCGGTGTTTCGAGTCAATTTGATAGTAGCTAGTGCCTTTGATGTTGTGAATGTACGTTTGTGGCAGCGTATGGAAGCATTCAAAAGCGTTGGGACCGAAGTGTGACAACTTCGGATGAAAGCTGGAATTTTCTAGTGAATACATCATGAGCAATTGCCTTACTACTCGCAGAACCCATTTAGAATCTAATCTGAGGGAGAGGGAGGGGTGGTGCGTATGCAAGGAAGGAGATGAGTTAGTGGTGTTGATTCGGTCAAGATGGATCTTAAAGTATCAGAAGTCTTGCCCGCCTCATTGTAAAGTTAATGGAATGCGCGGAACAGGGTGGCTCTTAAAAAGAGGAATTTCGTATATTTCGGCTGTGTTGTAAAGATACGTTTTTGAGCACTTGTATCGTTACAGCGTTGGGTGCTAGGTATTCACTGTAACACGTTCTGTGTCCGTTGTTTTTCTTGAGTGTTTGTGGCACAACAAAACGTTAGAATGTGCAAAAGAAAACCAAAGCTTGGCAAACGGAATCCTGTCTGGCCAACAAATGGGGAAGTCAGGACTGTGAGAGGCCCAAAGGTCGGACAATGCTCAAGTTTGGTGTTGCTGCTACCCGTACGATTACATGGATCTTCGTCAGAAGATTAATCGAGTCAGCTTAAGCGTAACATATTCGATGCGATAATCAGGCATCGTTCTTAGGGGAACTAGCAGCAACAGGATCATAGGCAAAGTTACCGCCGTTGATTACCTCAAAATGCAGGCAATGGAGGCAATCAGATCTGACGAATGTGTTTGTGATAAACAACGCTTGTATGCGGGTATGAGTGGGTTATGTGTAAGAGGTTAGTACTCTTAATCTTAAAGCCATTTTTGAGCTCTCCACCGTATAGACATTTTAATGCTTGAGGGGATTATGGAACCTTTCGTTCTCTGTGTGTGGCCGTGCTGCTACATCTGCAAGATTGGCCTGTGCGGCTGGAGAGTAGATGTGGTAGCATGATAAGCGCACAAACTTATTCACGCAATTAGGTGTCGACGGGCACAAACTATCTTTTAATGCTCAATTGGGTTTTTTTCACGGTTGCGTTATCAATAATACCACCTTAGGTTCCTTTTGCTTTACAAGATCAGGTTTTCCAAAATATCAATTCGTCATCGCTGGTTTTTTTCCAGTTGTTCAAATCCCATTGTTTCATGTTGTGCTGTTGAACCTGCTAATTAAATTTGAGTTAGTAGGTCGTTGAAAGGAATACCTGGAATAGGAGTGGAAGGGAATCACGAAGTCGATTTCTCCGTGCTTTTTGTGGTGAGGAAAATTCTAAAGTTCGTAATGGACTCTGAACTGACCCGAACTTGGTCGGAGTGTATATAGAGAGTTTGAGCTATGCGAAGTAATAGAATGTATTCCAGCTGTGAATTTCTTCCCAGTAACATTACCGCCTTTCTGCCCTGAGGTTGTTTTCCCGAGAGTAACAAAAAAACCCGTTGGGCTGTAGCTTCCTCGGTCGTAGGACTGGTTTATGTAAGTTTCGCTGAGGAGTGGTGATATATGTTTAGTTTGGATTTGGTATGCTTTCATTGAGCGATGGTTCAAGTACAATAATCCACTTTCCATAATACTTGCGTTCAACCGTGACACTTTCTGCTCTTGTGAGGTGCGCCTTGTCGTTTCCCATCAGCTGCACTTATCGTTTTTAAGTGAATGTCTGAGTGATTGCCCTTGTAAACTTTTGAGGTCACCGGCATTTTTACGAATTCATCAAATATGAGTGCAATTTTCTTCATCCTTGCTACAGCACTTCTAGATTTAAGTTGCATTTAATAGGTTCTGTTCCAATGTCATTCAGTTAAGTACTTTGCCAAACTAGATATAACTGTCCTGTTGATTACCAGAGCGGTACTTCGCGAAGCATGGCTCTGAGATGAATCGTTATGTGAATACTTAAACTCTTAGCTATACACATGTAAGGAGTTCTTGTTTTTCCGACTCTCTTAAGTGTTTTGCAATCACCGGTGATAGTGAAGGAGGATTTATTTTGAAAATTTATCTGCATTCATTAGCTATGTAATGCGCCTTTAATCTGTCTTTTGGTACTAATACTGCTACAGGCAGCAGTGGTGCGACGTGGTTACTCTCAGCGAAGAAAATTTAAATAGTCCGCGAGAAATGCCATTTTCGAGGTTTAATTTGTATCATTGAATTGGCACTAATTTGAGGTCACTTATTTGTCAAACAGGTGGTTAACTAAACCTGGACAGAAAGCAGACGCTTCCAACATACACTAAAGGCTAGCATTAGAGAAAGAGGTATTATTCATATTTCGCACGTTATTGTTCTGTGAGTGCCAGCCAGCGAATTGTTTGGTTAAGAATGGTCGCCACACTGCCCTTCTTGAACTGAGAT